GGATGGGGAATTATTAGTCTAAAAATTAGAACAGAATTTATACAAAAGTAAGCCGCTTGGAAACGCAGAGAGCCCGGTTTTTATTCAGCCTTGTGCATGAAAGGGTGCAGTTCCCGCTTGTGCACACCAGAGGGCCCCAAACTCCACTAACCTGCAGGAAGGGCATGGCTGCCGTTTGAACATCCTGCCTTCCCGTGAAACGAGCCCTTTATTTCTTCTGCAGCCCGAAGTATTTGACAAGGGCAGCTGTCAGAGACCCCATCTTTTTAAAATGGGATCCTGTTCTCCCCGCAAGCAGCTGGGATTGTGATTAGCTGCTGCACAGCCAAGTCCAGATCATTCAGTCTGGAATATCGTTGGAAGCTTCAAATGCCTAGAAATAAGCGAATTCACAAACCAGTTCTTCTCTCCCATTTTTTTTTTCATTCGTTAGACTTCCTGCAAATTGCCTAGAAATGAGTGAATTCACAAACCAGTTCTTCTCTTTCGTTTTTTTGTTTTTGTTTTCCATTCGTTAGACTTCCTGCAAATTGTGTACTGTTTCCCCACAGGAATATTTCCTTTGCGTTGCAGTCCTAGAAGCTAAGATACAAGCCTAAATTTGTTGCCGCCGTTGCAACCTTTCCTTCTGCTATCTGTCAGGAGATATATGCAGAATTTATTCATGAAATGAGAAACTATATATTTGACGAGTGTTTTTCGGCAGGGTGTGAGCTGCTTTTGTGTCTACGTAGCTGGCTTCACATCTGCCTACTTCTCCTGCAGGAGCTGGCTGGGAGTGGACGTGGAGACGGTCCTGCACAGAGCTGAGACATTGAAAGTATCTTTAGAGGAGGTCATGCTATTTCTTGCAGGTTGCGCTGTCTGTCCAATCCTTTTGAAACCTGGTTTCTGAGCCTATATTTAGTATAAGTCCTAAGGCACCATGGTCATTGTGAGGGATGCTGGGAATTGCAGTTCAACATCTTCTGCAGGACACAAGTTCTTTGCCCACCTTATGGAAAACAAAGGCCTTCTAAACTAAACTTTGGGTAAAATATCCCTTTATAAATTACAGCAAGCCCACATTTTGCAAAAACTCAGCATAATTTTGTTAAATCTTAAAATGCGATTCATAAAGCAGCGATAGATGCTCCGGAGTGGATACATGTTTTGCTTTTAACATTCAGAACCACAGCAGATGTGCCTGGAGTCACAACATCCACATGAATCCCAATTTGATCGTCCACTGTACCATAAACACACAGGTTTTGTTGGGTAAACAAACAGCCAATTACTGTCTGAAAGTGGCTTGGCTGCAAATCTTCAGTTTTCACTGTAGAAAAGTTCCCTGGAGTTCATTAGGAGGAAGAATTCTCTGCTTTAGATGCATCATGCATCAGATAGCATGATACATTTATTAGAGTGTGAGGCAGCCTACTCAACTCCTTGCTTAGGAATGAGAGGAGATTGATTGATTGATTGATTGATTGATTGATTGATTGATTGATTATGTGGCATTGAGTTGTTTTCAACTCTTAGTGACCGACCACATAGATAGATTTTCTCCAGGACGATCTGTCTCTAGTCTGGTCCTTCAGCTCTTCCAAAGGCACCCCAATCGCTACTTTAACTGGGCCTATCCACCTTGCCACTGGTGGTCCTCTTCTTCTCTTTCCTTCCACCTTTCCCAGTATTACAGTCTTCTCCAGAGAGCTAGGTCTTCGCATAATACGTCTGAAGTAGGATAATTTGAGCCTGGTCATTTGTGCCTCAAGTGAGAACTCTGGGTTTATTCAATGATGCTTTTGTTTTCTTGGCTGTCCATGGTATTCTCAGGAGTCTTCTCCAATGCCAAAGTTCAAAAGCTTTCATATTCTTCGTATCTTGCTTCTTCAGAGGGAATACCATGGTTTGCACAATTCTGATCTTTGTAGGTATAGACACATCAGGATCTATGGTAATCTAATATAATTGGGGAACAAAAAAACTGCCTGAGGACTGTGTGGATTCTTGACTTCAACTTCTTTTTTAGTTATAAAGTTTGTTAGTCATCTGTGGGCCAGCTCCACCTTCCAGAATGAATGTGAGGTCATGTGCAATCTTCAAATCTTTTTGAAGTCCAAACAGGATAAAAAATGATATCTAAATATGTATTTGAAGTACTGCTGAGATGGTTAAGAGTTCCATTTCTCTCCTTTTCTGAATTCTCAATTTAAAGTTTGAGATTCCTTCTAGAGTTGCACCCTTCCCTGAGTAGGTATTTGCTTTCAGCAGGCTTTTCTTGCAACGTACAATACAAGAATTACAGTGTTTACATATTAGGGTTTAGCAATTCATTCACAAAAATTGGAACAGGCCAAAGGCTAAGAAGGTGATTTTACAGCTTCCTGGATGACAATCCCTTCAGATTCACGTGAGTCAGTTTGGTCTAGTGGTTAAGGTGCTGGCCTAGAATCCAGGAGACCGTGAGTTCTAGTCCCACCTGAGGCATGAAAGCCGGCTGGGTGACTTTAGGCCAGTCCCTCTCTCTCAGCCCAATTCACCTCACAGGGTGGTTGTTGTGGGGAAAATAGGAGGAGGAAGGAGTATGAGGTAGGTTCGCCACCTTGAGTTATTTGTAAAAATAATAAAGGGGGGAAAAATCTAAAAAATATATATGTGGCAAGACAAGGTTGTAGAGGTGCCTTCAGGAAGAATATCTGTACAGATGGGAAACTGGAAAAGCTTCAGAAACTAACTGGATTGTCCCAATGGATTTTGGCTCCCCAAAACTCAGAAAATATTGTGGAAACTTGATTTTAAAGTATGCAGACTGAAGTTCCCATTTCACTGTCATTTTTAGAAAACAGAACTATTAAGGGAATTTTCAACCACTGGTTCTTTGAAGGGACACTGTTCCTCTCATGTTAGTCATGTAGAGATCTTGTCTGTGAACTTTGCATACAACCCCAGAACTGGGAGACACCAGTGAACTCCTTAACAAAGTCCACCCTGAGCTGGCTCTTAAATATTTTGAGTGGTGGAACAAAAGGCATTATCATTCTAGTCTCCGTTATGTAGCTGGTTCTTTTTATAGCTGTGCGTTCTAGATGCCCAAGGCCAGTCTGGCTTCTTGTTTTGATGGCTGATGCAGGGAATCTGGGAGCATATTTCCATGTTGGGATGGCCTATTGCCACTCCTGCAATCCTGTAGATAGCTGCCCATTTTTCCTTCAACAGGTTTTCATAATCCTTCTGAGCAGTATTTGCTTTGTCTAAGAAAGGCCCCATCCTGTAAGGTTCTTATTAGCAAGGTGGTGTGTTGCAGGCTACAACTGCAGCTGAATCTGCTGTTGCTCCCTCTTCCCCACTGACGTTTATTTGCAAAGCTGTTGTTATTTATCCTGCCTTTTTTATATATAACTCAAAGTGACAAACGTGCCTTATACGCTTTCCTCCTCCTACTTTCCCCACAGCAACTCTGTGAGGTGGGCTGGGCTGAGAGAGAGGGATTGACCCAAGGTCACCCAACTGGTTAACCGATTAAGTCTTCCCACCCTTCGTGTTGCATTTGGACTATGACTTTCAAAAGTTGTAGATAATCTGGTGCCAAATGACAGAGCCCAGCCAGATTTTCCACAGACCCACCCAGCAATGGTAATGGAAGGACTGGGGTCACACACTGACTTAGCTTTTTTTTTTTTTAAGCTTTTGTGCATGTGTCGGAGCTTAAGAGATGCTGCACTTGTCATTTGCCTAGTTCAGCTTTGCACAAGAGAAGCATCTTGCACTTTCTTTGGCTGCTCCAAGGCTGTCTCAGCTTCAACTACAGCTCACAGGCTGTTTGGCCATTCTGTCACATAAAGACTACAGGCCATTATATGTTTTTGGAGAATCCCTGTTGCCTCACCCGCTGAAATGAGGAGGATAGTTGGTCATTTAAGAAAATAAAGGTAAAGGAAAAAAGGGTGGGAAGCCTTAGAACTCCTTGCTGGCATCTTACAAAATGTTTGTCTTTCTCTACCTGGAGACGCCCTTGGCATTTGAAATTGTTTGCTTTTCTCTGTACCTAAAGAAAAGCTGTTGCATTTGGACTACTGTACTAAGCCTTTCGATTAATAAGACCACAGTTGCACTCAGTCAATCTGCAGGGAGATCCTGTGGAACTTGCTTAGAACTACATGACTTCTGATAGGCCCAGAAATGTGTGGAAGGCCTCCTTATGCAACTGGTGCAAAAGGACATTTGGGGAAATGCATTTCCCTACCATCCAGAGCCATATAAGGGAACACAGCTCAGAGCCAATAACGCTTCCAGCAACTCAACAATGATCCAAATTGCGCTTCATTGATCATTTCTAGTGTGCTGTCTCTGCTATTCCTGTCCTCATTTTAGTGGATGTAAAGACGCTCAATAGCAGGAGCAGCAACTGAAATAACAATGTGCACAGGGCCTCAGTTACTTCTTGAAACTTTCCCTAATCCCAAACTTTTTTATTTTGAATTCTCTGTTTACTGAGCTCAAAGACCCATTTTCTTCCATCACCATGGCTTAATTCTTCAGTTTTCATGCTGCTGCACCACAAGGAGATTGACAATTGTCTTTAAGGTGAAGGTTGCATACCCAGATGGAAGGTCCTGGGTTTTAACAACAGTAGATCGCTACCAAATAGTTCCTACTGAGCTATTAAAGCCTTCCCTTCCTAGTGTCATTTTGGGGCAAGACAGAAACAGCAGTGGATAACACAGAACAGCTTCAAGTAGAAGACTTCATCTTCTAGTGTTGTCCTAGAATTCCATGAATTAAGGTACTTGCATCAAAAAAAGTCTCATCTGAAGGCATCCTTGATTTTAATGAGATACAGCTTTGTACACTCTTGTAAACCTAACAATCCATCAGGGTCTGCAGAAGCTTTGTCATTGTTCAGAAAACATCTCTAGAACGAAACTGCTGTTTCCCTCTCTCTTCTAGCTGTGTATGTATTCCACAACTCAATAATTGTTTGGAAGCAAAGAAAACAAGACTACCACCATTGAGTATCACTGTTCAGATGGATTTTTTATTATTATTTTTGGCTGAAGATTTTCCCAAACATAAATTATGCAATTATGCAAATAAGAGAAATTATGAAGGTGCTTCTGCCCAACAATTTCAACATATACTAAAATAACTGAACATCTTGTTACTTAAATCCTGTTGAAGATGCTCCTTGTGCAGCACTTAAAAAAGGATTGTTGCTAAGGCAGCATCCATCAGGAATCAATAAAACAGGATTTAGCAGATGTGGGAGGAGAGATGATATAGGCTTTATGGCTATACCACCTGGCTTGGTATGTTACCAAACAAGATAGGTTACTTTCTTCAGCACAAAAGTTCAGCAGAAGGAAGCAAATTTACATCACACAACAGCAAAAGAACTTCAGTTGCAGCTGGTCATGATTCTACCCTCACTCCCAAATCCCACATATTGTTCAGCAGTTAGAAAGGAAGGAGGCTTGAGAAATAGGTAAGTTCCAATCCTGCTTCTTCCGTCGCTATTACAATTTTTCTCCTAACGTGCTCCTGAAAGACTGAACCTCTGCAGCAGAACCACTAACACAGCAGCCAGCTGTCTGCATCTGCAATTCTCATGGGACCTGAGCCAACTCCAGCTCCCAATCGGCACAGAACACTCAAGTCCTCCTGCCTTTACAAGCATACCCAGAAATCCTAGGGTACAATGGTAGGTAACAGAACTAAACCTTACTGGACTTCACTCCAGATGAATATGTTTTAGGGCAATCGATCCAGTGCACTATTAAGGCACTTTCTAGGTCAAAGTGCTCAAAGTGATATACAGAAATTACAGTTTCTGTAAATAAATATGCTATCTCCCCCCCCCCCACTGGTCTATATAGTGGAGGGATAACTTGAATTCCTTTCACTCTTTTATCAGTTTCATCGTAGCATTCTTTCAGAAGTACAGCACCTTAAAAAATTCTTATTGTGTTAAATAAACAGCAGGAGGAGATGGGGCTAGAAATAGAGAAGCCTACTCTCCTGCCTTCAAGGTTACTGTACTTTATTATAATTTGGTTTTGTCATACTACAGTAAACTCTATAGTTACCGGAGGCAGGAAAAACACTTCACACAACAAGCAGCTTTTTCCCCTTTTCCAGAAGAGCAGGAATAAGAGAGCTCTCCTTCCTAGCCCTAAGACTGAGGGTTTGGATACCAGCGATACAGTAATTTACAGCAGTATAAAATCTGACCTCAATTCCAGACATTCAGGGATGTTTCTGAAAGAGAGATACTGAAAGCTGCCATAATTAAATAGAAGCAGTGTCTCTGCTGCTGACATCACTGAAACTGGATCACACACAGGCATACAAAGAACTTGAACGTCACAGGAATCTGGGGGGATACAGGGGTGGGGGTGTAACGGCTAAGCCGCAGCTGCTCCGAACTGTAGGGAAGATGCATAGCCATTTCCCAGGGCTTAGCACTATTCTGATCAATAGCAGAATAATGTAGTGCAGAAGTGCAAAGATAAGTACATTCTTTCTGTAGGGGAAAAAAAAGTCTTGTGCACAAGCTTCTCCTCTCAGGCACAGGGAAAAAGACAAAACACAAGAAGACCAATGGCTAGAAAGTCACAAGTCACTTCTTAGAAAGTCTAGCAATGAGTTTTTTCCATTCTTCTCTCTTGCCTGTTATATATGAAGGAGTCAGGAGCTGAAGCACCGGTTCCTGCTGCCCCTTGAAGAATTCCTGGCACAGGACCTCTGTGTTGCAGATCACGTACATCCCACAGTCATAGCTATTCTGCTGGGCTGGAGCCTTCTCCTCCACAAAGGCAACTTTGCCTCTTTTGCCAAGAAAGGACTGCAAATTCCTTGCTACCTGTTTGGCATGCACCGAGTTACACCTGATGTGGGAATCATAGTGAGCAAAGCAGTTTTTATCTTGGAAATATACTAGCAAGCTCCAGTGAGTGCCACCAGCTGCCTGGTTGGAGTTGTCATTGATAGCCAGGAACACAATTTTCTTGTGCAGGAGGTCCAGTGGCTCAAGAAACAGGGCCAGCTCCTCCTGGTTGGTGGTGCATTTGATGAACTGAGCCACCTCAGGGCCCACGAAGCAGATCTGATCAGAGAAGTCTTGGAACTGGTCGTTGGCAAAATACTCAAAAGCAAACCCAATTATGTGGTCATTCAGCCAACAGGGAGGATCTAGTAATGAAACATCCGATTGTCTCAGCAAACTGTCCATGTAACTCAGGACAATGGGGTCCATTCTGTGCAATCAGGACTGGAGAAAAGGCTGGAGAAATCCCAACACCTAAAATGATCAAAGATGCAAAGAGAAATTTACTACAGAATGGCAGGTTAGATTTACTGACCCCATTGTATGGATCAATGTAAATTTATCCACAGGGTATCAAACATCACAGCCCTCTAATAGTATCAGTACTAACTCCTCCTTTGTTGTGGACTGAAGAAATACAGTATAAAATAATTTTTCTCTTTTCTTCTGGAGTAGAAAAAAGGCAAGAATCAATAAGAGAAGGCATCTGCCTGCCCCCTCCTATCTAAACCTCAGCAAGAGGGAAGAACCTGAATCTCTTTTAGGCAATTTGGGCTTGCTGAGATGCTCCAAGAAGAACTTTGGTTTTGGGGGGAATGTAGCAAAATATTGGAAAAGAATGTTGTTTCTTACCTTCTCCATGACTCAGCATTAGTTGAGAATTTAGGGGAGAAGATAGGAGTTGCTGGGCATCCTTCTCCCAGATGGCCAATAATATTCCCCACACACACCCACAAAGTTATGTGGGATGCCCACAATTGTCTAACATAATGAGAAAAATCAAGTTGCTCAACTACAATCCAAACAAGAGGGACAGGTTCATTAAAAGTCAATCTCTCAGCCTAAACATCTTTATAAGGTGGTTGTAAGGAGATTATGGGAGTAGGGAGAGAATTTTTCTTTAGGGAGGAATGGAGGGAAGGAGGAAGTATCTGAGATAGAAAATGGAACAGCAAGCAACTGCTCTTCCATCACTTCCATGTTATTTGAAGAAAGCTGAAAGGTGCTGGATATCATAGAGTCTCCAGGGTCAGAAACATTCTCAGGTATAGATAGGATTATTCTGTAAATTAAGTCTACTCTAGAATTCCAAGGGCATGTCTGTTGATAAAATTTGTGACACTTGGAATCAAGTATCAAATACAGTTAGGCCTTTCAAAGTCTGCTTAAATAGATCTACCTGAATATCAGTATATGGTTCCCTTAACAATCCAAATAATATGAAGCCAGAGTGATAGAAAATAATTGTACTACAGAAAATATAAGAGCAATCTATATCTTGCAGTTATTCTTTCCTGAACAATTGCAAGGGAATATCTGCCTTTCTTCTAACGAACCCATTCTGCAAGACAGAGCATTCCACAGCTGTATTTCATTTGATTCAATCAACTTTTTCAGGGGTTTCCTTCTCTCTTTAACTAGATATGATGCTAGATGACAGATTGCCACTAAAAACAGTCCTTTACTTGCAACAATTCCAATATATGTATTTTTCCACAGTTTTTTCCCCCAATTCTTGCCAGAATACTCAGTGATAACAGATTCAGGATAACATAATGATGCCATGCATGTAGGTGAAGGAAGGAAAAGTTCATATTTGGACACAATTTTTAAGGAGCAATTCTGTATTTGGCATAACCCCTCATTTGCCTGCCTCCTTTCAATAAACTGCATTAGGGTCTCAAACACAAAGGATGTGTGAAGTGCTTTTGCATCGATAAAGCTGAGCTAGAGAATGAAAAAGGTTGAATGTGAAAGCTAAAGAGCACACTAACATTCAGTGTGCAAAATGGGAGCATGGCAATTGATCAGATGTTAACGGGATTTTAAAATATTTTTCTATCTCATGCTATCAGGAAAATAAACTGATTATTACTGTAGTCTTGCTCTTGAAATCAGAGTCAAAACTGCAACGTTTTCAGCCTGATCAGATTCTTGTTTATCTAGAAGTCAGTGCCACTAAAGCTTTCTCAAGGAATTAAAAAAACTGATTGCCTTGAAGGTATTTGATGTTCTGTGTTCTGTAAATATTTCTGAATATCACTCAGGCTCTGATCCAGCCTTCTGAAAGCACACAACTAACAGTGAGCACTCTCCTCTTGGCATGACTCAGAGAAAACTGGAGAACACCCATTCATTGCAACAGGAAAGAACTTGCATGTGCTGATTTATTTACTCATTAGGAAGGAATGGGAAACTTCCCTGTGTACGGTTAAAGGACAGAGGAAATTCAGTGATAACCTTGTTTGTGTGTGTATCAATAAACATTGACATTTTTAAGGGCAATAACTAAACAGCATTCTTTTAAAAGCTAACAATGAGAATTAAAAGTGGCATACATGAAATGCATATAGTAGACCTTCTAAAGTGAACCAGTACTTGCTTTTTTTTGTGGATCCAGAGCTTCCCACTCTTGCAAAGGAAATATCTTATGGACTAAGATACGTCTTGCTGATCACCATAACAGGAAATAATAAGATGGAACAGGAGCATCTATGGTTACCTGAGTCAACAATCTGGACTTACAGAGACTAATAGCTACACAATGGATGCTGCATCCTTTTCTTTGCTTAACCTCCAACTATCAGTAAGAGCAACGTGGTGGTTTTCAGCATTGTCCCAGAGCACGTAATTGTTCACGTCCTGACTGCATTTCTTTTCTTCCCAATAGCAAAGTATTGCTCATTCTACCTATTAGCTGTTACTTGAAACCTCTTGACAATGACTCACCAAATGAATTCTGTATCTAAAGAAAATCTTTCTCAGATAGCAACTCATTTTCTTGGGAGCTGCAACAAAGCACTTTTAAGTATACTATACAAAGAAAAAAATAGAACCTGCAATTATGAAGGGATAGGCATACATGAATCTTTTTTTAGGCCAAGTAACTTTCCAGTGGTGGAAAAAAAATAGAAAGATGGCCTTGGAAATTGCAGAGTAAGAAGAAAAATCTTATGCACAACCCCTGGTGACTTCATGGAGATATCCATATAGCCTTTTTGGTAAAGATATGGAAGTGGTTTGCCACGGCTGCCTTCTGAGTTGCTTTTTAGCCTGCAGTTCTGGCATTTCCTAGTGCTGTTTCACCCAAGTATTAACCGTGTTCAGCCCTGTTTAGCTTTTCCAAGATTAGCTAAGGTTGGTTAGGAGCTACCATCTAGCCAGGCAGAATAAGGAAAGCTGTGATAACTACTAGTTCCTATAATTGGAATTTCCCTGAAGGCAAGATGATCTAATGTAATGTTTTATTTAGCCTTCTAGCTAATAAAAGTTCAGGGTGAACAAAACAAAACAAACAATGAATGAGGATACCAATCAACTTGAATTAGATCAACTGAAGCTTGGCAATTGACTGAATCAATCGTGAAAGCTACCTTACAGCTGGAGACTATCCTGGCTGGCAAAGGTTCACCAAATCATCAGGCAGAGTTCACTCTAGTGCCCTGTCTACTCTGTAAATGCTAGGATTTGACCCTGGAACCTTCACCGAATACAGGTTGGATTTTACCACTGAAATCTAAAAATTTTTTTTAAAAAAAACTGACCATTTTCCTAACAAGTAAATTGCAGTACTTCTAAAAGGTGATTGGATTACAGTCTTTCTATAGTGGATAACTATTACTGGATATGACTTTCACCTATGGAGACCCTTCCTAAAAGTGGATAGCTTGGCCATAGTTATCCTGTGACTTTTATCTTCAACAAACTGAAAGCAGCAGGGTTTCTTTGGGGATATTACCTAATCTTATATATGTGTACCTTAAACTTCTTGTTATACATCATGACGCAACTTGTTTCATTTTTGTCTATGTGTATGAACCCAGTCACCTGGTTTACTGCATTACATGTTGTATGGGCCCAGGCAACTGGGGCTTATTCAACAAAGCAAACATTTTAAAAAAATATAAGGCCTAGCATTATGTGTGAACCCAGTCATGAAATTGACTGTTAGTGTTTTGTAGAAAAAGACAAAAAGTATGTCACTTTAAAGGTTAACAGATTTATTATGGCTCCGTTTTGCACAGCAAGTCTATTACAATGAAAAGTGTCTCCTGTGCCCATCTCAGAGGCTTGTTTAATAAAAACAAAGACAAAAAACTTGGGAGATATTCTGGGTGAAATTCAAAGTGCTGGCTGGTACATAGCTCAGGACCTGGCTATCTTCAAGACTGCCTCCTCCGAAATGAATTTGCCTATCCTGTAAGATCTGGGAAAGAAGTCCTCTTGAGGGTCCCATTTCCAAAAGACTTCTAGATCAGTGTTTCTCAATCTCAGCAACTTTTAAGATGTGTGGACTCCAACTCCCAGAATTCCCCAGCCAGCATGGGGAATTAAGTCCACACACCTTAAAATCGCTGAGACTGAGAAAAGGACTCAGGAACTGGGCCTTTTCAGTAGGGGCACCCTCCTGTGGAACAGCTTGCCCCCACCTTTAAGGATCACTTCCTTCCTAGAAGAGAACATTTGAGAGATGTTAGATTTTCTGTTATGATCAACCCCTGCTGATTAGTACTATTATATTTTCACTGTCTTGAGATTTTGGACTTCTATTTTTGTCCCATGCCACTTGGAGCCATTTCAGAGTAGAGGGGCATAGAAGTACCCAAAATAATAATAATAATAAAAAAATCAAAACTAGACATATTTAGAGCAGGAGCGCTAAAAGTGTCACTTTTGCCATCCCAGACCTGCCGCACTCCGTCCCTGTAACTGGGTGGGTTGGGCCAAAATTTTGGGACCCCTTCCCATTTCTCTGGGTAGGGAGTTCCAGGTGATAAAGGAATCCAACTCAACCAAACGGCCTGTGACACCCCCTCCCCATGAAACGTCTAGCCCTCAACTACACGAACCCTGGAAGGGCCCAAAAGCAAACAGAAGTCATGCCCCTGCGTTGGCCGAAGAGGAAATCTCCGGGGTCAAAGCTTCTTAAGTATAAACCAATGGAACCCAACAGTGAAAGGAGACCCCCTGGCCTGATCTTTTTCTTGCACCCCCACCTTGTTCTTGGGGGTAGTGATCTTCGGGGGAGGGGGCTTCCAGGCTCGGTTTGGGGCTCATCCCCCTTTCCTGCTTGTTCCGAGAGGATTTTGTTCCGGGACAGAACACGGATCTCCTCAGCAAACGTGACGCGTCTGGCCGGACCTCGCAAATAATACGGGATAAGGACGAATGAGTGACGGGACAGGGACGTTTCCTTCGCGGGGAAAAGACGGAAGGTCACTTCACCATCCAGGCGCACTCTGAGGACTGGGAAGGAGGGGATGACCGGCTGGAAGCAGCGAGGAGGTGGGTCCGGCCCCGCGGGAGCGCTGTGCAGCAGCCGCCTGCCCACAAAAGCCCCAGGGCGGGCGCAGCGACGCTTACGGTCCCCTCCGGGCTTTTCGGTAATTACAGCGAGGGCCACCGAC